ATCGGTGCTAGGGACGCGGGTAACACTCTCGTGTCGGTGCCCGGCTACGACCACAACTTCATGGGTCTGCAGGCCAACAAAGACAAAAGATGCATCGAGGATGTGACTGTGCTGACATACACTCGTCTCTTCGCCTGGGTGACGAAAGATGCCTTTCGATGCGTGGCGGCCATTCCTTACAGCCATCCATTGGGAGCTCAGCAATTTGTCGACTTGACTCGCCCTGGCGTAGTTAGCGCTACGGCGGCTCTGCGACAGTGTCTGAAGGACGTGGTAACCTTGTCGGTCCCCTTGAGCATCTTCCTCAGCAGACCAGCACATCGGGAAGTGTGGTTTCCAAAAGACGGCGCACATCCTGAGACCCCGCGCCCTCAAGTGCCACGTCGATGTCTGAATGACATCTGGTGCTTCATTGTTTTTTGAATGAGCGAGCTAGATCTCAGCGTGTCTTTGACAAAGCGATCAACTGACTAATCAATTTTGTTTCAGCACACTTCTCGCAACGCCAGCTGCTATGCGCTAACCTGTATTTCTGCGCAAGGATAACTGCTTCGTGGTAGAACGCATCGTGAGGATGACAATGTCCGCCGCTCTAAGCATCTGCTAGCTCAAGCATTGACATTCTTTTGTCTGATCGCCATGGGAAAGCCACGCGCGAACGCTTTCAAAGGAGCCGGCAAGAAGGGCAAGTTGTGGAAAGGAGCCGGGCCCGCCGCCAAGAAAAGCTGGGTGCGAAAAGTTCCTTGGTCAGATCGCCTGTCGAAGTATTTTCTTCGTCCTTATGTGGATGCTGCCGGCAGTCCCTTTGCTGGGACGGCCGACGAGAAGGATCTTCTCACCAGCTGGCATCTTCAGGGAGTGCTGGATCAGACGTGCTCAGAATATTGCGCCCGCCAGGGCGTTGCTCTGTCCGAGGGCGCAGCCAATCTAGAGGTAGGCGCCGCGCTGCTAGCACATCACATTTCCATTGACCCGGAGGAGGCCCTGCGGAAGCTGAGCATTCGGGATCTGCTGAATGAGTTGAACTCCGCGGATGGAAAAAATTCGGCAGGCATGCAAGTACTTGAACACGGCCAACGAAGATCTCGAGCGCAATGACGAGGCGACCTCCACGGCTGTCAAGCGCTTTCTCCGGTTCTTCACAACTGATGCGGGCAAGAAGGAAGCTTACTTCAAGAAGCTTGCTAGGTTCTCAGCGCGGCTGTACCTCTTCGCTTTCGAGGGACTCGAGGCAATCACTGCACTGAACAACCCGAAGGTGATGGCGGCAGGAGTCCATCACATTGGTGCTGACTACAATCTGCCCGGACCTTCTAATACCTGGCTCAAGAAACTTACCGACCAAGAAGCCATGTTAGGATCGTTTGCGGCGGCCTTTCAGAAGATCGAAGGCGTCAAAAAGAGATCCGGCGCTGTCGCCTTCGACGATTGGGACGAGACCACAACCGGCGATGTCTGGGATGCTGGTCAGAAGGGCGGCTATGCTTGGGGGCACGACGAGGACGAGGACGAGGAGGAAATGCAGAAGCCCAGCCCGCCCCCCAAGAAGCGCCACCCGGCTGCGTCACTCAAGCCAGCGGCTGCACATGATGCGCTCGCCTCAGACGACGAACCTTTCCAGCAGTTGGATCTAGAGTCCTCGCCAGAAGCGCTTGCAGGGGGCAAAGGTGGAACTTGGCACTTACTCGAAGGAAGCCCTGGACAGTCTGAAGGCGCTGCTGGCGAAAGCGAAGGAAGACACGAGGGATCGGCCTCCTCTCCAGGATGCCTTGAAGCTCGTGCCGCCATCTGTTCTGGCCTCTCCAGAAGACCCGCTATCCCAGGACCGACAATCTTCGAAAGTTGCTCCACGCGCTAGAGACGATGGTCGCCAGCCTGGACGAGGCCTTGCAGACTCAGGCTGCATCTCCGGACAAGCGAGGCTTTTATCTCTGAGTCACAGCTGACAGAGTCAATCCCGATGTGACTACATGTAGAGATGTTTGGTCCGGCACAGCGTCATTATATTTACCAGTTTCTAATCTACGAGCAGCATATTCGCTCGCTAGTCATCATGAGACACGCTGCGCCGTAGTCGTCATACGAAGCATTAACCACCTTTATTCACTGTTGGGGCTTTGTCGGAACTGCAAGGAGGCATGAGAAAATAGAGATCCAGGACTCCGGCGGCTGTTTCTGGCACACTTTGCCCGAGCAGACATGCATTATTCCATCAGTGGCATTTCTTCGCTTAACAGCTGCTTTCCCCTCGCCAGATCTCGCGCGCATCCATCATGCCTCGTGCCTGTGTCGGATTGTCGGGCACCGTGTGCTGCTTCTCTGGCGCGTACCCGGGACGGCCTGCGCAGCCGAGCCCTGGTTGGCAGTGGCTTGGCTTCGGCTGGCTCTGGTTTGGCTCGTTATAAGTAGTATATGGGTGGCCTTGAGTGTCTGCACACTACTGCGTTCAGCTGACCGATACCAAACCCTAAACCCTAAACCCTAAGCCCAACCCTAAACCCAAAGCCCCTAAACCCCAAGCCCCTCAACCCAAAGCCCCTAAACCCTAAACCCAAAGCCCCTAAACCCTAAACCCAAAGCCCCTAAACCCAAAACCCCTAAACCCCTAAACCCTAAACCCCAAGCCCTAAACCCAAAGTCCCTAAACCCTAAACTCTAAACCCCAAACCCTAAACCCTAAACCCTAAGCCCTAAGCCCTAACCCTAAACCCAAAGCCCCTAAACCCCAAGCCCCTAAACCCGAAACCCAAAGCCCCTATAAACCCAAAACCCTAAACCCTAAACTCTACACCCTAAACCCTAAACCCTAAACCCAAAGCCCCTAAACCCCATGTGCATGCCAGGAGCGCGAGGCTTCCTCTGCTAGGCCGCCTTGGAGGCTTGCTCCCTACCAGGCCAGGGGTGGCCTTGGGGTTTTGGGGATTTTGGGCTTTCGGGTTTTGTGGCTTTTGGGTTTGGGGGTTGGAGTTTGGCGTTTTCGGGTTTTGGGGTTTGGGGTTTGGTGGTTTAGGGTTGTCGATAAGTAGGTTGGGCAGTCGGAGCCTGACGCAAAGCCGAAGGCCAGATCTTTCCCTTTCAAAAGAACAGCCAAAGCGCACAGGACCAGCAAGCCCATCAGGGTGCTGGGCCGCTGCCTGCACCCTCCTCTGCGCCACCACGCCGGCCCCTGCCGCCGCCCTTGTTCCGGCGCCATGCAGCACCACCTCAGGTCCTTGGGTGAGAAACATGGCTTTTCTTGTGATGGTCATGACGACGAGCATCATGCTCACCATTAAAAAAGAAACCAGCAGCAGATGACGATTATCGTGACGATGTGGATGCTCAAATAGGATGCTGCCGCTGGTGATGACAATGCTGATGATGTCATTTATGGCAGTGGTTGCGGCGATGATGATGATGATGATGATGATGATGGTGCTGCAGATGACATGTTGCCACCCCACAAAACCCAGCTGAAATTGCAGTATGGCTCATAACTTGCATAGCGATGGCTATGTTTCTTAAACGGACATAGCTACACTGGCTGAATTGCTGGGACCTGGGAATGCTTTCTGCTACTGCATAGTTCGGAGTCTCACGTAAAGCCCCAGAGCTTTCACTTCCTCGATGTATGCACCGAAACAAACCCTAAACCCTAAACCCTCTCGCGGAGGGAAAAGGTCCGGTAAAACCCTAAACCCTGAACCCTAAACCCTAAACCCTACATGTTGTCCCCGGGACCAGCAAGCCATCAGGGTGCTGGGCCCCAACCTGCGCCTTCGGCAGCGCCACCGCGCCGAGCCCTGCCGCCGCCGTTAATTCGGCGTCGTGCAGCACCGGCCACTTGGGTTGAGAATCGTTGATGTTCTTGTGATGACCATGACGAGGAGCATCCTGCTGACCATGATGATTATGGGTACGGTACGATGATGGTGATCGCCATTCCTGACCGTCAGCCCGAATGTCAGAAGTTTAGCTGTTCGTGGACACAACCCTAAACCCTAAACTCTAAGCCCAAAACCCTAAACCCAAAACCCAAAACCCTAAACCCACAACCATAAACCCAAAACCCAAAACCATAAGCCCAAAGTTTTGTTAAACCTTCTCAAAGCAGACCGACGCTCCCAGGACCCGGCCCCACCGCCGCAACCTGCACCGCCAGCTCCTCGGCAGTGGCATACAGCTCCGCCAGCTTCTTGGCTGAGATAGAGGTGGTGGGTTGAGCCTTTAGGGTTTAGGGTTTGGGTTTTAGGGGTTTTAGGGGTTTAGGGGTTTAGGGGTTTAGGGGTTTACAGTAGGGGTTTAGGGGTTTAGGGTTTAGCTTAGGTTTTAGGGGTTTAGGGGTTTAGGGGTTTAGGGGTTTAGGGGTTTAGGGGTTTAGGGTCATTTGAAGCGGGGTTTCGTTCGAGGGCTTTGCTGACCGTAGTATAGGGATCCAGCATGGGTAATCATGCAGATTGGCTATACATTGTGTGTTATTGGGTTGATAATCGTAATGAAGCCTTACTTCACGCGCATTTTCGTCCTACTGTTTGATGTCAGAGCTGCAGAGTGACCATTGTAGAAGCAACGTGATAAGTCTTGTCACTACCATGGCAGTTTAATTCTTCTTCCCAGTGTCTGTAGCCCATCAATGTCAGTTATCACTACCCTTTTTGTTCATCTTCCTCCTCTTGTCGTCGTGGTCGGCGTTGAGACTTTGTGGCCGTTTGAGAAGCCAAGCAAAACGGTTACGAAGCCCTTGCGGAACCCGAAAACAACCGTTACAAGCACCCCTGTCAATCTCTTGTTCCTTCCTATAAAACCTTTATAAATCTATTCTGAAAGCTCATGCCAACCCTAAACCCTAAACCCTAAACCCTAAACCCTAAACCCTAAACCCTAAACCGTGGCTCCTACAAAAACCCATGTCAAATCCATTTTGAAAGCTCGTATGCGCTTCAGACCGACCGGGCTCCCTCCCAAGCGAAGACGGCATCCCGAAACACCGGTTTGGGGAGTTGGTTTAGGGTTTAGGGTTT